TGCAATAAAAAGGGTTAACATGATAGTATTTCCCAATTTTCTTATTTCTTCAGAATATCTCAGTTAAAGAACAAAAATCTTACTGTTCTTCATTGCTATCAACTGACATTGCTGACTAAGACATTGGAACCTCATCCTCCTGCCTAAAAACACTGGAATTTAAATACACTCATAATCAGACATGTGCACTCTCAGCTTAGAAACAAATTTTCCTCTCAGGATATTCAATCAACTAATCAAAGCAACAGCAGTAAGGCAGAACTTGTCAAAACCCAGACCACCAGGTTCCTCGAGCTGTCTGTAACCACACCAGTTCTACAGCATTAAGGCTTTGCTCTCTTTCAATACAACACTATTGCCTACAGCTGCCATCTGCCATTTCACTTCCACCTCAGTCCAAAACCACTTCTGCTCCCTAACACCTCCCTTCTTTCTCACAATTTGTACCTCTCTCCATTGCTATTTAAAATACTTAAACATAACTTTGAGTTCTATATGCACTTGGAAGACACCTGAAATGACAGATTCTGTGGAAAGCATAAACTATATTGACAGACCACAGCTAGAAATCCTGTTGTTTTAAGGCAATAGGCAAGATTATTTTTAAAAATCAGTAGCAGAGGGGCAAAAGTTTTGCCTACACGTTTCACAAAGGCCCTAGTTTGATGAGTGTAACTTCATTAACCTTCCCCTGTCCCCACTAAGTCTTTCCACGTCCATTTCAGTCCTCTCAGTTACACCAGTGCTATCACTGATTGCTCCAAGACAAACCATATCAGAGAACTCACTTGGGTTAAACACCATGTTTTGTTTTAATTCTATTATTTTAACCCAGACCAGTTCCCTGTTCAGTCAGCTACACATGCAGCTGTGCCCACCCAAGGAACAGCACAATGCCAATACGGGAACAAACGGCTGGAACTGCTAAGGAAACGTGATTGTCACAGTACAGAAAGAGGCTCAGCTGGATGCACTCTTCAGTGCAAATATTCAGTGCAAATGCACTATTCAGAGCAAAACATGCTATTAGGCTACAAAAACATAAATATGGCCAATTATTGTCAGGACAGTGGGATCTGAAGTCACATCACTGCCTCAGCAGGTAAGCATAGTTATGAATTCCCCACCAAGTACAGCCTGCTCTGTGTAAAGGGCCCAGCATTGCAGAAGCTGCAGTGCAGTGGGCACACACAGTTTCCCTCCAGAAGCATGTTCCCAGAAACCTGCTTGCATCACCTTTCACTCTTAGGAAATGCAGAAGCCTGTACAAGAAGAATTAGGCTTACATTTCTTCTAATTCACAAACATTAAAATTAATTCAGCCAAGTTACAAGAGGAGAAAGGGTTATCCAGGAATGCTGTTTATGTACCATCCAACCATTTCAAGACTTCAATTTCTACTTTCTGTGAAAAGGATGTAAACAGTGAGCGACCTATCCAATCACTCCCCAGTGCCCATGTTACCAGCTTCAGAATATGATTTACCTTCCCCATTTCTCCTGAATAATATTTTATTGGAAGTCTAGCTTTATTTTTAGACAGAATCTTAGTTAACTGTGTTTGAATAATCAAAATTTTAAAGTGCAGGAAAACAAAAATCTCAGCTTGTTTTCTTTTGATTGATTCAAAGTTGCACCAAAAGGACTTTCTCTGATGTCTATGTTCCCTTTATATTCTGTTTAAAGAGATCTCTCTCAGTAGCAGTGGCAGAAGTTGAATTTTGAGTAAGTCATGCTTTTAAGTAGCACCATTTTCCCCTCACAAAGAAGCAGACAGGACCTCCTCCTTTGCCCCCACATCAATCAGCCAGCTTTGGAAGTAACTACAAGCATGTACTGAAACTAATATTTAGTTTTACCTAAGCACTACCTCAGCACCAGAGCTTCCTTTTAAAAAAGTAGGGGGATCTCACCAAAAAAAAAGCCCTAAATTAGTCAAATTCTTTTGTGCATGGATGAACAACAGGAAAGCAAAGCCTTGGGGCCTCTGGGGAGGAACCCTGTCCCTGCAGACCTACTCTGATGTGCTCGGGAGATAAGGCTCCATAGTGACACTTAAGGAAAGGCCTGCTCACATTTGAATTTCTGCATTCCTCAAGAACAATTCATGGCAATCACTAACTTTGCAGAGGAGCTACATGAAAGCTTTGGCCAATGAATGAGGGTCATCTGCTCTTTATCACAAGGGTAAACCTCATCCTGGCCAGTTTCTAACCTTTTAACCCTGTGAATTCTTAATTTGCACATGAATAATGGAATTCTTGCCAAGAGTGCAACCTTCAGCTTCCAGTTTCTAACTTTAGAAACCAAGACCTGATCTCTTTGTGTGTTCAGATCTTAAACTCTTGGACAGATTAAAGTTTTTGATTTCCAAATGCAACACTAAACATTACAATTCTGAAGCAAAAGATAAGCTTATTGGCAAAACCTCTGACCAGGCAAAGTAAAAGAACATCCTCACACCCTGCTGCTACCAGTAACTGAAGAGAGCATTTGCTTTTTTCCTCCAAAGAAAGAATGCCCATTTAATGCCTATTCTCCACCTGTTTAATATGTATAGTTCTTTCTGTATCCTGACGACAAAGTAATTTGCCTTTGCAGCAACCGACAACTTCTTCTAAAAAGAAAAATTGTAAGACTACAAAATCCCCCACAAGACCTTCATTTATTTCACTTTAAATGTCTGCAAAGTTCAATCAGTTCATGAGAGCAGGCAGAAACACTGTGAAAATGAGAGAAAACTAATTTTGCACGTGTTGTATGGGCTCTAAATTATCACAATACAAATTACTGCCCAATTTCACAGCTTTACAGTAAAGATGACATTCTGAAAAAGGTCAGATTGCTGCATGACTAAAGGGAAGAGACTGCTACATAGGAAAACTTCATGTTTGGCCACTAGTTAACCACTTAATCACTAAGTCAACAACACCTACTGTGATCATTATGGATCCGCTATCTCTTCCAGTTTTCTCCAGCAGCCATAGAAAGCCTTTCAAGTATTGAAACAAGAAAAAGAAACCTTCTGTCACAATCTTACAGAGAAGGGGAGGGAGGAAAAAAAAAGGGCTGCAAAACAAGAATCACTCCACAGCAAAAATCTGTTGGTTCACAAGACCTTCTTGGTGAAAATCAGCATAATTAAACCACCTTTCTGATGAAATAATGTGCATGTGAGAAACAAATATTTACAGAAGTTCAGTATTGTCTGAATAAAATCAAATACTACAATTGCATTACCGTGCTATTCTACTATAGTGCTCTGTACTATTCCAGAAGTTCTCTGGTATTAAGCACAGAGCTCATTCTGCAATGTCTCCAATTTAAAGTGGCCCTGAATTTTCAAGTCCTACCCACAGAATCCATCAGCCACTGCTTAGCTTTATGTTGGTTAACAACAACAAAACAATCCTATCCTCTTTAGGGAGGTTTTCTTGCCTAATTTTTAATCATGCTGACATTCTGAAACTTAGCGAGGTTAAATGTTAAAAATTTTGATTCTTTGTTTTTCACCATTTTACCAAAAGCACCCACTAATTACTTAGTCTCTCAATCCTGTATATGAGCAAGATAAAAAGTAATATGTAGGCAGATTTTTGAAACTGAGACTTCAGAGTTTCACATTCTTGCAGCATGTGAAAACTCAGCACTCACTTGGAGCCACCTGCTTCCAGGATGGTTTTGAACCACCCAGTGCTCTGGCTCACTGAACAAGGTTTTTCACACCTTCCTGGGGGATCTCGTGGACAGTATTTAGAATCAGATCAGAAGCACACAGAAAAAAACTAACAAATGTTAACATTCACACATTTTTTAATGTAAGCTAATATAAAAATTTCATTAACTATTTCAGATTGAATTTAGTAAAAGCTGCAACTTAGAATTAATGTCAGGTTTTCACAGAGGTACTAGCACTAGTTTTATTCAACTTGCTACTAAGAACAGGGTCGAAGAGGTCATAGGAAGTCTTTTCCTATTAGATTAAGTTCATCAGTTAAGTCCCATTATAGAGGGAACATGAGAAGACTACATAAACTGTGTACTCTCTATGTTATACTTTCTTTGAAATGGAAGTTTTCTTTACTTTGCCAAAATTTACTTTTCTTTGAAAAGTGCATTCCCATGTACTTTTGGGAAGCAAAGGGAGATGACGTTGTAGTGTAGTGTAGTCTAGTGGCAAAGCTCAGCTCTGCCATGGAAAAAAGCACAGCATTCCGTTCCTCACATACATCTCTTGCTCAATGTTTAAAGATGATAGGAAAATGGAGGGCAACAAACACCCGGGGTCAGTCTGTTAAAGCCATAAAGGCACTTAGACACAACTATTTCCTTCACCATTTACCCAGCAGCAGAGAGTCACTCCAGAAATGCAACTCTCCCTTCCCAGGGGAACCACATAACAGGCCCTTACGGGAGGTCCCAGAGGAACCAAAAGGGACAGCACCCACATCTGCTTGGCTGAACACGTCAGAAAAGCAAGGCCTTAGAGTTGCCCAGAAAACTTTTCCCCCCTTTCCTCTCCCAGAGATAGACATCTACATTAATCATTTCACCCTGCTCCAAGATGGCCCAACACAACTTCAAGCTACAGAACAAGGAATTTCTTTTTTTTTTTTTTTTAATCAGATCTGTAGATAACCTTTGTAAGGCTGCTAGAACAGCACGTGGGAAACAAGACCCAGGACTTATGCAGCCAGCATGACTCTGCATCACTACCTGCTCCAGAGACCATAAGCCATCCACACAAGGCCCCACTGCCCAAGAGGTCTCACAGGTGTCTGTGCCTCTTCTGCCACATCAGGGACTGAAAAAGGGACCACCACCAGTTTTTCCCATAATCTTTATACATTTAAAAATAAAGAAAGGTTCTCTAGAATTACTCTATAATTTTGCACTTTAACTTTTCAGGTACACAATCAAAACTGTAGGTCGTTGTGTGCTATTCAGGGAATTGCTGTCACAAACTCAGGAGCAGATTAATAAACAAGAGCTGGGACTTACTTGCTAGTGTGAGATGACTTTTTTGACTGAGAATGGCCCCATGTTTGTTCAGAGCTAAGCACTGGTAAAATCCTTCATCAGACAATTCTCCCTTCTTTCCTTCTACCTCACTGATATACAACGAGCCATTGGATAAAGTGTAGATCCGTTCATTTTCAGACACTTTGCCTCCATTTTTCAGCCATGTAATAGTTATAGGAGCTTCACCACGGGCTTGGCAGTCTAAAACCACCGGATCCTTCCTTGACACAGTAACGTCCTGAGGCTCTTTCACAAAAAACAGTTCACTAAAGCACCACACTCCTAAAAGAAAAAAAAAAAAAAAAAAAAGAAAAAAAGAAAAAAAAAAGGGTTTTGGTGTTTTTTTGCCTAAGGACAGACATGTAAACAGAGACATGCAAGTTACCACGCGCACTGTGAGCTGCGAGTCATCCCGCGGAACCCACAGCACGAGGTGAAGCCATCGCTATCACACGCGCTCCGAGCGCTTCCAACTCCGCCAACTCTGGGAAAACTTGGTCCTGACTCCAAGCGGCGCGAAGCCCCCGGGCTGTTAAAGGCAAAGAGCCCGAGAACCAGCGCCTTCCACACCGAACCGGGCACCGCCACGGCACGGGCGGGGGGCGCGGTGATCCCGGGGCGGCCACACAGGTGCGACCGCTCCGCCCGTCCCGCTCGCTAATTTTACAAGCCTGCCAAAGCAGCCGGAGCGGGGCGCGTCGTAAAAAGGCTGATTTTACAAGGAATCGTTAGTGAAAACCTCTCAGCAGAGCGCGGAGGGGCCGCGCACCGCCCCAGCCCCTCACGCCCCCCCCGCCCCGCCGCGGCGCGAACAAAGCGCGGAGCCACCGCCGGTTCCCGCTCCCTTCCGCCGGTCCCGCCGGTGCCGGATAAATAAAGCCACGTGCGGCGGAGCCGGGCGCGGGCGGACAATGGGCACGGCCGGCCGGACTCACCTGGCAGCGGGAGCAGCAGCAGCAGCAGCAGCGCCCGCAGCAGCGGCCGGCGGCGGAGCGGCGCCATTCAGCGGGACGCGGCTGGCATGCCCCGCCGGCCGCTCCACAGACCGGTCAGCGGGCGAGGGGAGGAGACTGCGGACGGACGGAGCGGCCCCGGCGCGCCCGTCCCGGCCCTACTCTCTGCATCTCGTCTCCATTGGCCTTTGGGGAGAAGAGGGGCGAGGGGCAGGGCCGGCCGGAGGAGGGAGGGAGGGACGCGGCTGGACGGGGCGGGCCGCAGGGCGGGGGTCGCGGCGGACAATGCGGCGGGGCCGGCCGCCAGCACGAGGGGCCGCGGCCGGCGGCGCCATCTGGGCCGAGCGGGCCCCGCAGCCGCGGCCCCTCCGGGCGGCACCGGGACCCGACGGCAGCTCCGCCGACCCCCGAGCCGGGCGGGCGCTGCCCGCTGTGGCACTTGGCGGGCGGCTGGAGCTGCCGGCCATGCCTTCCCCCGGGACGCCGGGCTCCCCGCGAACACCGCTCGGCTCACCGCCGTGCCGAGCAGCGGCAACACGTGCGCTGGACCTGGCGCAGCGTTCCCCAAGGGCTGTGCCGGAGCTCCCCGCCCAAAGCACCGAACCAAAGGAGGTGCTGAGCGCTGGATCCTGCACCGCCCGGCGCAGGTGCAGAAGTGTCCAGGCGTGCCAGAGCATCCTCACACCCAGATAAAACCGGCCTTCCCACACATGCACACAAATGTTTGACTTTGAGGATGGACATTGATCAGAAATAATAAGCCAATTTTGTTAGTAGTTCTCGCTGAGCCCATCCTACAGCACCAATAAAACCACTTCCAGCAGGCCACATGGGACAGTGCTGCGCTGTCGAGGATGAACTGCCCTTTACTTACATCCTCAGAAAACAGCATTAAGTTTACATCTGTCTCAAACTGGCTTGCAAAAATGCAACTTAAACAGAAAACATGGCTTCAGAATTTATGCCATCAGCACCCTCTGGATAATGTGTACGGGAGATAACATCAAATGCTGCCACTATCATTTAAGCTTTCAGTTCCACCCTTGATTTTACTCCATGCTTGCAGCCAGCAATTTCTACTATCTTCTTTTTGTCTGTTCAGATTTCTGGTTTCTAAAGTTACCGCGTAGGAAGGCATCTTCTTACTCAGCAGATTTGCCTTATGTTTGCATTCATTGTGAGAGCTGCTGACTTCAGTGACAGGCAAGTTTTTACTGCTTTTTGTTCCTGCCAGCACTGCAAAGCTCACAGAGCTGAGAGCTGGCAGCCAAACCAGTCCCTTCTGCTGCATCATCACCGGGACTGGCTACAGCCTGAGTCAGTGACTCCTCTGAAAGTCTTCAGGAGAAAATCAGAACTACTAAAATGTGATGTAAAGCATAGATTGATCTACATCACCTTCCTCACTTGTCAAAAATACATAAGCAGAGTTTTCAGGGAAGATAATTAGGAAATATTTGCTTTACATGCAAATCACTTGCCCAAAAAGAATCCAAACAGTTTCACAGTCACTTTGTAGAGCAGAACTGCACTGCTCTGGTGTCCAAATAGGACCAAATACAGCAACAGGATCCTCTTGACCTAATATCTTTACATTTTCCTCAGTGTTTTAATTTATCTAATCAGAAAAGTGTGAACTATGAAAAAAAAAAAATCACAAGTAGTTTTGTTTATATTTTTTTTAGCATTAAGGACTAAATATTAATTATTTCTCCTGGTAAACTTTCATCTGCAGCTCATGCTGGCACTGTACTCTCCTGCTAAACATTGGTTCATCAATGTGACCTGCATTTGAGATTTACTAGAGGAGCTCAGCACACCTAGAAGAAAAACACAATAGGGAATGCAACATCCAGTAACATTTCTATGCCAGATGCCTCAGTCAGTTGGTGGAGTGGCTGGAGCTGTCCCTGGGAGATGCAAGATCATTTCCCTGCAGACCTTAGCACTGCCTCCTGCAGGCATGAGTAGGCTGAGCTGTACTGCCCAGCACTGGACGCTATCCCACTCTCCCAGGGGAACACCCCCTTGCCCAATTCACCAGCCTGTTTTGAAGGAGGAGTTGTTCTGAGTTGATTAGGGAAAAAAAAAAAAAAAAAAAAAAAAAAAAAAGCCAACAGAGAGCAAGCTGTAGTCCTATCCTACTTGTGGGCTGGTTTGCCTTATCTGTGTCATCTGTGCTCACTGCAGTATTCTGCTGTGATGAGGAAAGTGCTTTACCATCTCCCTGAACTACACTGTGCCAACAGGAGATTTTGACTCATGAGATCAAATGCAATATTTGTCTTAAATGGCTTAACAGAGAAAGTGCTTCCCTCTGGAATGCTCCTTGTGCCTGTGTCTGGGCAGCTACAAACACCACTATTCTCATTTTCATATTTCTGTTCAACAAAATAAGTAATGCAATTCCAACTAGAATTAAGCAGTTCAATAGCTAGATGAGTATAAATGCTCCCTCTTTAGTTTGTCAGGATTCATTATTTTAACACATTTTCCAGTAATTAATTGGGTAAGAGATAGTGCAGACTTGTGATAACATATCTAAATTCATACATAACTGATAAACTCACTGAACCACAGTTTAAAGGCACTGCCAGTTGCAACTTTGTCAAATACACTGTATTTGTAAATATGCAGCCAATGAACACAATTATCTACTTGGCCAACCATTTCAGAAGCATTATCTTGAGGAAGAGACAGAAAGGCAGTCCAGGAGCACAAGATCTTGCAGCCAACATAAACAAAGCCATGCCTACTTTGCTGCATAATGTTGAAATTTTTCTTCTGTCACCAACACAGATTTTTTTTGCTTGATTTGAGCTGTATTTTTGGTTATCCTAACTTCCCCAGTTTTTAAAACCCTTTTTAATGTAAGAACTATCTTTTAAGTACTATCAACAGCTAGAACAACAGCATGCTGTCAGGTTGCTGATTGTAAATAACCTGATTTACCTTATGCTGCATTTCAGCCTCAGCCCTGGCCAGGCTGATCTCTATGCTTCCTGGAAAGAAAGATTTTAAAAACCAGATTGACTTGAACAGCTCTGACTCCATGTTTTGCTCCATGGGCAGCTGGCAATACATACAGGACTTTTAAACTGAGCTAGGTCTAGAAAATCCAGAATTTTGGTACTGTTATGAACCAAAGAGTGGGATTTTCCAACCTAAATGAAATCTCATGATTGTGGTGCTTATATGCTTTGTCTAAAGTATTCCAAATATCACTAGAAAGTGAACTGATAGCCAGGAGTCTTCTCTGGGATGGAATGTAGCAGCCTCAGAAAAAGGAAAGAAGCTGGAAATTCACTAACTGGACCTTCCCAATGTGAACTATGTATTCATGAGATCACTGCAGCCCCAAACCCAGGATGGAGAATGCAGTTCTTTCCACATTAGAATATGATTTTTCTGGTGTTAGAACACTTACACCTCCTTCAGCTTAAACCAGAAACAGTCCTGTTTAGTCTGTGGTCAGTTTTGCACTGAGCATTTCACCCCTATCTGAGAAAATTAATAGCATCATGTTAGTTCTTTCATCCCTGTGGTCTGGAAAAAGCTGTCACAGCAGCATGGATGGTGTTCAGCATAGCCACTATTGGCCTGAACTGTGTTCCCACATGCTGCTGCATCCCACCTGATCTAACAAGCTCAGAAATGGGAAAGTGGTTTTACCCACATGATCTTTTCTCTTGTTTTGGCTTCATATGGCTGTGCTCTAACACCACAATGTCATGGATCAGAAAAGGAGGGGAATGAGCACCTCTGGGTGGCAAATGAGAGGTGGAAAGAGAGCTATTTACAGCAGTTTAAATGTCCCCATTGGAATACGTGCCATCACTACCCTCAATTAGCTGTAGCCCATAAGATGTGGTAGCAGGGTCCCAGAGCCCAAATCCATTTTCAAATGGACATATAATCATTATCCTGGTCCCCCACAGGCTCAGCCCTTCCCAGCTACCAGTGCCAGGTGCCAGCTCATCCTCCAGATCTGCTGGGTGTCAGTGCTGGTGTGGAGGAAGCTGGAGCTGCAGGCACTGCAGCAGCACAGGCAGCTGCATGTGGCTGCAGCAGTACAGGAGCTGCAGCCCAGGGCAGGCTGGGAGCTGTGGTAATTGCCAGAAACCCATTAATTGCAGGGAAATTACTGCAATTTGCACCAGCCAGCGCTGCCTTCAGACAGAGTCCCCGAAGCCCAGCTAAGGGGCTGCCACGATGGATGCTGCACTCCTGGCAGGGTGCCATTAACTCTTCTTCTCAGGGTAGCCCCTTTTGTCCTCACAGTTCTTGCTCTGAGTGTTTTTGATCTGGTGTCACTGTAAGCATGTTTAGACACTTTCTTGTTTCTCATGCCAAACTACTGATCCAATTGCAACTGTATCCCCAGATTTTAAGTATGTTACACTAACTCTATTACGACCCACCATAAAAATGTTTACTTTTGGCACATTTTGCCACTTAGTAGATTCTTATTTAATTTTAAACCTGTGTATAGTTACCATCTCCATTGCCTTCTCAGCAGAGATTCGCTCCTTCCAAGAGCAGATGGGCAAGGACACTTTGAGCTGAGCCCTTGGGATGCTAATGAACTTTTTCTCCAGGCAGCCTTCATGTACAGGAAAAGCACACCTTGACAAAGGCATTTTAGCACAGTTCTCATCTCATCATAAAACAACTCGAAAGTGAAAGCAGTAATTTTATTTGCTATATCAGCATTTTTCCCCTTCCAGCCACTGACCAGTGTTTCACTGGCTGAAATCAGTGGTGTACATTTGCCAGATCATTTCACGGTGCCCCAGAGGTAGCCTCCAGATGTTTACCCCCACCTCTGAAGGCTCATCACACCAGAATGCAGAGAACACCCTACCATGAATTTCAGTAGGAGATGGATGACACCCCAGCATCCTCTCCCCTGCTGCCAGAGGTAACCACAGGCAGTTTGGAAGAGCAACCTCACAGGGATCTGGCAAAGTGCATTCCCTTGCTCTCCCATGCCCATTTGCTGCTACTGGAAGGTGTGAAAAATACCTAAATATTTTTGGTTAGTCAGCCTGCTGTTTCTTAGATGCAAGC